ACAGGAAGAAATTAATCAGATTCATCTGGTAATTCCTACAAGAATTCTGATTCGTCCATTTTCCAACAGACATACTGATTGAATCTATCAAAAACTGAACTTAAAATAATTTATTGAATAATCTGGATTGAATTTATGCAATAATCGTGTTGGAATTCAGAATATTAAACAGACTTTTGAGATTAGATGGAAAAAAATTTAGACGATTCGGTGCTAATGAGTTTAGTATTATTAATCCAAAAATTTGATAAATTTAACAAGAAGAAATTAATCAGATTCATCTGATAATTCCTACAAGAATTCCGATTCGTCCATTTTCCAACAGACATACTGATTGAATCTACCAAAAACTGAACTTAAAATAATTTAATGAAAATTCAGAATATTAAACAGACTTTTGAGATTAGATGGAAAAAATTTTAGACGACTCGGTGCTGGTGAGTTTAGTATTATTAATCCAAAAATTTGATAAATTTAACAGGAAGAAATTAATCAGATTCATCTGATAATTCCTACAAGAATTCTGATTCGTCCATTTTCCAACAGACATACTGATTGAATCTATCAAAAAACTGAACTTAAAATAATTTATTGAATAATCTGGATTGAATTTATGCAATAATCGTGTTGGAATTCAGAATATTAAACAGACTTTTGAGATTAGATGGAAAAAATTTAGACGATTCGGTGCTAATAAGTTTAGTATTATTAATCCAAAAATTTGATAAATTTAACAGGAAGAAATTAATCAGATTCATCTGGTAATTCCTACAAGAATTCCGATTCGTCTATTTTCCAACAGACATACTGATTGAATCTACCAAAAACTGAACTTAAAATAATTTAATGAAAATTCAGAATATTAAACAGACTTTTGAGATTAGATGGAAAAAATTTTAGACGACTCGGTGCTGGTGAGTTTAGTATTATTAATCCAAAAATTTGATAAATTTAACAGGAAGAAATTAATCAGATTCATCTGGTAATTCCTACAAGAATTCTGATTCGTCCATTTTCCAACAGACATACTGATTGAATCTATCAAAAACTGAACTTAAAATAATTTATTGAATAATCTGGATTGAATTTATGCAATAATCGTGTTGGAATTCAGAATATTAAACAGACTTTTGAGATTAGATGGAAAAAAATTTAGACGATTCGGTGCTAATGAGTTTAGTATTATTAATCCAAAAATTTGATAAATTTAACAAGAAGAAATTAATCAGATTCATCTGATAATTCCTACAAGAATTCCGATTCGTCCATTTTCCAACAGACATACTGATTGAATCTACCAAAAACTGAACTTAAAATAATTTAATGAAAATTCAGAATATTAAACAGACTTTTGAGATTAGATGGAAAAAATTTTAGACGACTCGGTGCTGGTGAGTTTAGTATTATTAATCCAAAAATTTGATAAATTTAACAGGAAGAAATTAATCAGATTCATCTGATAATTCCTACAAGAATTCTGATTCGTCCATTTTCCAACAGACATACTGATTGAATTCTATCAAAAACTGAACTTAAAATAATTTATTGAATAATCTGGATTGAATTTATGCAATAATCGTGTTGGAATTCAGAATATTAAACAGACTTTTGAGATTAGATGGAAAAAAATTTAGACGATTCGGTGCTAATAAGTTTAGTATTATTAATCCAAAAATTTGATAAATTTAACAGGAAGAAATTAATCAGATTCATCTGGTAATTCCTACAAGAATTCCGATTCGTCTATTTTCCAACAGACATACTGATTGAATCTACCAAAAACTGAACTTAAAATAATTTAATGAAAATTCAGAATATTAAACAGACTTTTGAGATTAGATGGAAAAAATTTTAGACGACTCGGTGCTGGTGAGTTTAGTATTATTAATCCAAAAATTTGATAAATTTAACAGGAAGAAATTAATCAGATTCATCTGGTAATTCCTACAAGAATTCTGATTCGTCCATTTTCCAACAGACATACTGATTGAATCTATCAAAAACTGAACTTAAAATAATTTATTGAATAATCTGGATTGAATTTATGCAATAATCGTGTTGGAATTCAGAATATTAAACAGACTTTTGAGATTAGATGGAAAAAAATTTAGACGATTCGGTGCTAATGAGTTTAGTATTATTAATCCAAAAATTTGATAAATTTAACAAGAAGAAATTAATCAGATTCATCTGATAATTCCTACAAGAATTCCGATTCGTCCATTTTCCAACAGACATACTGATTGAATCTACCAAAAACTGAACTTAAAATAATTTAATGAAAATTCAGAATATTAAACAGACTTTTGAGATTAGATGGAAAAAATTTTAGACGACTCGGTGCTGGTGAGTTTAGTATTATTAATCCAAAAATTTGATAAATTTAACAGGAAGAAATTAATCAGATTCATCTGATAATTCCTACAAGAATTCTGATTCGTCCATTTTCCAACAGACATACTGATTGAATCTATCAAAAACTGAACTTAAAATAATTTATTGAATAATCTGGATTGAATTTATGCAATAATCGTGTTGGAATTCAGAATATTAAACAGACTTTTGAGATTAGATGGAAAAAAATTTAGACGATTCGGTGCTAATAAGTTTAGTATTATTAATCCAAAAATTTGATAAATTTAACAGGAAGAAATTAATCAGATTCATCTGGTAATTCCTACAAGAATTCCGATTCGTCTATTTTCCAACAGACATACTGATTGAATCTACCAAAAACTGAACTTAAAATAATTTAATGAAAATTCAGAATATTAAACAGACTTTTGAGATTAGATGGAAAAAATTTTAGACGACTCGGTGCTGGTGAGTTTAGTATTATTAATCCAAAAATTTGATAAATTTAACAGGAAGAAATTAATCAGATTCATCTGGTAATTCCTACAAGAATTCTGATTCGTCCATTTTCCAACAGACATACTGATTGAATCTATCAAAAACTGAACTTAAAATAATTTATTGAATAATCTGGATTGAATTTATGCAATAATCGTGTTGGAATTCAGAATATTAAACAGACTTTTGAGATTAGATGGAAAAAAATTTAGACGATTCGGTGCTAATGAGTTTAGTATTATTAATCCAAAAATTTGATAAATTTAACAAGAAGAAATTAATCAGATTCATCTGATAATTCCTACAAGAATTCCGATTCGTCCATTTTCCAACAGACATACTGATTGAATCTACCAAAAACTGAACTTAAAATAATTTAATGAAAATTCAGAATATTAAACAGACTTTTGAGATTAGATGGAAAAAATTTTAGACGACTCGGTGCTGGTGAGTTTAGTATTATTAATCCAAAAATTTGATAAATTTAACAGGAAGAAATTAATCAGATTCATCTGATAATTCCTACAAGAATTCTGATTCGTCCATTTTCCAACAGACATACTGATTGAATCTATCAAAAACTGAACTTAAAATAATTTATTGAATAATCTGGATTGAATTTATGCAATAATCGTGTTGGAATTCAGAATATTAAACAGACTTTTGAGATTAGATGGAAAAAAATTTAGACGATTCGGTGCTAATAAGTTTAGTATTATTAATCCAAAAATTTGATAAATTTAACAGGAAGAAATTAATCAGATTCATCTGGTAATTCCTACAAGAATTCCGATTCGTCTATTTTCCAACAGACATACTGATTGAATCTACCAAAAACTGAACTTAAAATAATTTAATGAAAATTCAGAATATTAAACAGACTTTTGAGATTAGATGGAAAAAATTTTAGACGACTCGGTGCTGGTGAGTTTAGTATTATTAATCCAAAAATTTGATAAATTTAACAGGAAGAAATTAATCAGATTCATCTGGTAATTCCTACAAGAATTCTGATTCGTCCATTTTCCAACAGACATACTGATTGAATCTATCAAAAACTGAACTTAAAATAATTTATTGAATAATCTGGATTGAATTTATGCAATAATCGTGTTGGAATTCAGAATATTAAACAGACTTTTGAGATTAGATGGAAAAAAATTTAGACGATTCGGTGCTAATGAGTTTAGTATTATTAATCCAAAAATTTGATAAATTTAACAAGAAGAAATTAATCAGATTCATCTGATAATTCCTACAAGAATTCCGATTCGTCCATTTTCCAACAGACATACTGATTGAATCTACCAAAAACTGAACTTAAAATAATTTAATGAAAATTCAGAATATTAAACAGACTTTTGAGATTAGATGGAAAAAATTTTAGACGACTCGGTGCTGGTGAGTTTAGTATTATTAATCCAAAAATTTGATAAATTTAACAGGAAGAAATTAATCAGATTCATCTGATAATTCCTACAAGAATTCTGATTCGTCCATTTTCCAACAGACATACTGATTGAATTCTATCAAAAACTGAACTTAAAATAATTTATTGAATAATCTGGATTGAATTTATGCAATAATCGTGTTGGAATTCAGAATATTAAACAGACTTTTGAGATTAGATGGAAAAAAATTTAGACGATTCGGTGCTAATAAGTTTAGTATTATTAATCCAAAAATTTGATAAATTTAACAGGAAGAAATTAATCAGATTCATCTGGTAATTCCTACAAGAATTCCGATTCGTCTATTTTCCAACAGACATACTGATTGAATCTACCAAAAACTGAACTTAAAATAATTTAATGAAAATTCAGAATATTAAACAGACTTTTGAGATTAGATGGAAAAAATTTTAGACGACTCGGTGCTGGTGAGTTTAGTATTATTAATCCAAAAATTTGATAAATTTAACAGAAGAAATTAATCAGATTCATCTGGTAATTCCTACAAGAATTCTGATTCCATTTTCCAACAGACATACTGATTGAATCTACCAGAAATTTAATTGATGCAACCAGATTTTTTTCTCAGTGTAATCTCGTAAAACGTAACTACCCTGCGGGAAGGAAGAGTTTATTCTAACATAAAGCTAGTCCCCGGCCGCAAAACGATTTTGACTTTTTCCCTTCACAGCCAAGGCGTCGTGCGTACGAATAAGAAGCACTGCCAGACCACAAGACATTGTCGTGAATCGTGCTGGCGTGGTGCCAAGCCTGCCTGCGGTAGCGACGGTATTTTGTACTCGAACACCTGCAAAATGCGGGCGAAGAACTGCGGGTAAGTCTGCGGATCCGACCAAGTACGACCGACCAAGATCGTCCCCGAGGGACTTTCTCTCTTGCAGAGATTTCGCGGGATCTCGTAATCCTACTTTACCCCGCGTTCCCTATTTTTTTCCTTCCACTTGATCATTCAAGAATCGCTTTTTTTCGTATACTCTTTGTGTTATAAGAGTGTATCTCCCCTTGTGTAATTTAAAGAACACTCGAGTTGCCCTTCGTTCCTCCCTCCACCGAGATTTCTCTCTAAATATTACATGCGATTTGATGCGGGATGTAAAGTCTGATATACGTGACTTAAAGTTTCTCGACATCCTGATTTTTCCTTCAACGAGTAGCTCGGAATTTTATAATCCTATTGTGACTTTTTACATCGAAATTTTATTAATTGGATCGCGAAACTCTCGTCAAGTTCTATGATGTTAATCGAAGCGTGCTTTCCAGGAAACACGTCTTCGAAGTTCCAATGTCATTCTGCATATCTCGGGAACGAACGTCCGGAAGCAACGCGTGTCCCTTGGATTGCAAAAACGAGGCGGAGGTATCGGTCTGCGGATCGGATGGGAACATATACAGGAACGAATGCGAGATGCAAATGCTAAACTGCGGGTGTGTATTCATCATCAGCGCTGCTTCTCCTGGATAAGTAAAAATTGCTCGTGCTTCCTTGTCACGAGTAATCGATCGCCGGTCACGAATCTTTAGCAAAGTATTAATAATCGACAGGCATGCAAGAAGGAAGATAACGGTAGTTGACTTCGAGAAGTGTCGGGCTCGGCTAACAAAATGCATGAAGCAACAGCTGAGATGCGGAAGCGAGGTGGATCCGGTTTGCGGTAGCGATGCGAATACCTATCCAAATCAGTGCCATTTGAACGTAGCGGTTTGTTTGTAAGTTGTCTTCATCTCTCAGGAATAATGACCAATTTGCTTTTCAAATATCAAGATACGATAATCCCTCCAACGTGATCGTTTATCGTTTTCGAACTCGTTGCGAACGTCCGATCAATCGTAGACCAGCTAACTCTTTTTCAATATTTGATGCGTTTTTAGAAAGGGTATCCAATTGGCTCACGTTGGGGAGTGCACGACCTTGAAGGAGACCGAACAGTGCCCCGAAGATTGCGCCCAAGTACCCGAGGAACCAGTTTGTGGAAGCGATGGCAACGTTTATCGGTGATTAAGAATGTTATTCGGATTCCAGAAAGTCCGTTCCACGATTTTAGGAGCGCGATCCACCACAAAGTGGCCGTTCATTAGAGACCGACAAAAGACTTTGGACCCTTTCCAAAACTTGCTCTTCATCAATTTAAATTTCAGAGTTGCTTTTTTTTTCAAATAAAACGATCGCAAAATCCATGATATTATACCTGGTTATATCGAATGCAATATTTTCTAAATATTTAAACGGGTTTGAGTGTAAAATTCTTTTAGAGATTAAATGCGACTCGAATATAATGAAAAAAAAAAAAGAAAAAATCGCGAAAGGATCAAACAGCGGCCAATCCCTCCAAGTTTACGCGTTCACTGGTGCGTCATCTCGTATGCATTTATAGGTCCCTTTGCCATCTGCGGCGGGAGACTTGCGGCCAGAGGGTGGTTCAAGTTCCGGCGCAACATTGTCGCACCACCGCGCTCTGCAACCAGATCTGCAGCGGGGAACGTCAGTTTGTTTGCGGCTCCGATAATAAGCTCTATCGCAACGAGTGCGAGATGAAGAGGGACAATTGCGGGTAAGCCGCCTGACCGCATTTCAAGCATTTTATTTGCACAATATACCGGAGTTTTTTGTTTGAGTAAAATTACAGCGAGCCCTTTTAAACAATTAAACCCCTGATTCTCGAGAAAATCTGATCACATTTTTTTTTTATTAATAATATCTGCTCTAGCAACTTTCGAGCGAACGATAAATAATAGCAAATAAATGAAATCGTTAATAGTAAAAGATATAAAAAGACAAACAAAATATGTAGTCTCGAGAAAAAGATTGCATTTAAAACTCGTATTTCGTTTTGTAAAATATTTAGATTTATTTAAAATTCTATAGATTACGAATGAAATTGCAAAATAAGCATTTTAATTAAATTTTCTTTTCAATTATTGCCCCAATTGAATCTTTCATTATTAAGAAAAGCAATTAAATTGTCTCAATAATCGTATCTTAACTTCAAGCATACAACTTTTATTCCCATTTTATACAGCACAAAAAAATTCTACCGCAATATAAAAATTTGATTACTTTGCTAAAAGTAGCTCAGCTGAGAGGCTACTTATTAACATTCAAATTAAATTATTCCTATTTATTTAAAAAAGTCTAGAGAGAGCGGCATGTTTCGTGTCGCGCGTGTAATTTCATTGACCGCAATAGTAGCTTTTTCCTCCATATGCATAATACTTTCCATGCATGGAAACTTTCATTACGTCGGAATACATTTCTGAAGAGGGGAAAAGATTGTCTAAGAAACTCCGAGAAATGATTAATTCGAGTTAATAGTATCGCGTGCGATGAAAGGCCGTTTATTCGATTCAGCTGGAGAACCGTTTCATTACTTTTTTTTTCTTTCTTTTTCACGAAAATAATAAACTATCGGTACGTGTACCAGCAGGATGTTCTCGTGCCCGTTGTTCAAGTACGCGAGAGGAAAGTATCCTACTTCGCGAACGTCAATTGGACACAATCGCCGTGCAATTTCGAAAGTAGAAATTATCGACGCCTTCGCGCGGCCTATATCCTCAAAGGAGTCATTTTCTATTCTCGATTGCTTTCTAACACTCACCGAATGTCCATCGTACGTCAAATAAAGAAACTAATACTCGGAAATTATGAAAATATTCGGGACAATTCGCGACACGAGTACTGATCCAAATCGTTCAACTCACGAATCATGCAATTGCTCTTTAACGCGCGAAGCGAGTTTAAGCTCGAATTTAACCAATTAAGCTTAACTTTGGTCTTCCTCTTTCCTCCCCTTGATTTAATGTTAATTTAAAAAAATAAATGGAAATTTTAAAAATTTAATTTAATTTTTAATTTAAAAAATTTCCACCTCAAATAGCGAGGGAAAATAAGCAATTAATAAATAATTTCCATTTTAGGAAACACGTGTACGTGGTACCTATGAAGAGATGCGTCCAAGGCTTCCTGTTTCGCGGCTGTCAAAAGATCTGTCCGCCTTATTACGATCCCGTATGCGGCACCGATGGCATGACGTATAGCAACGAGTGCTTCCTGGAGATCGAGAATTGCCGTAGCAGGAGTCTCGTCACGAAAAAGTATCACGGAGTGTGCGGCCAGCCGACGGAGGAGCCGAAAAATTATCTCTATTAAAACAGATGGGGCTAGCACGATGCGAGAGAGAGAGAGAAAAAAAAAAGAGAGAAAAAGCGAGGAATAAAATCACTCGACGATATAATTTCGCTCGTATTTTTTCCGAATTCGGAAGCGACAAATGCTGTACATGTTCATTTATCATGTGTCGTCTCCAAGTATTTAATAATCGTTCGACAAATTCCGATCGATCGAGATCTGTATCGATCATTCGAAACTCTAGACGCGCGACGCGATAGAGAAATAATTTACGTGAGCTCGGGTGACAGCCGATCCGAAACGCTAAATTTCTATGGCGGAAAATGCGTTTGAGGGAAAACGAGCATCTTGCCAGTCCGGATTGTTGTCGTATTGTTACTGCTGTTTCTATGATAATTAATATTCATCGCGATTGCCGATTCTCTCCCCTTCTCGGAAATAATTCACGCGGCAAAATGCTTCGCAAATCGCTATTGTATCCCGGGTAGAACATGAAACTCATAATGACATCATTATGACGTACTAAAAGTTACCTAAAAATCACCTAAAAGTCATTTTAGAAAAATCATGATATCATAATGATCTCGTTTGATATACTTTGGACAATGTTTTGGTGACTTATTTTTGATATTAAACAATTCTAGCGAACTCTGTTGAAGAATATATATACTTCGTGTATGAAATCTTAAGAATCAATCATAATAATATCATTTTTTATATATATATTACGCAACTGCTTGTTTATTTAATTATTCATGTATATTTTAATTATATTTAAGCAACATAATCTTTTTAAAATTATATAATGCGATTATTGAACTTAAACATTTATCATTCTTTTTGTCATCTTTGACTCATTTTTTAATCATTTTTGTTTAGGTCACTTTTAAGCGATAAATAAAATCATGATGACGTCATAATGATGTCATTATGAGTTTCATGTTCTACCTGGGATGTCAAAGTTGACGAAGAATTGTTTATAGATTATGTATCCTTTTTCAAAAATTATCGTCTAAATTTTTTAACCGGGAAAGCAAAGGGGATGTCGCCAATTACGATATAGTCCCTTCGATATACTTCGCATATACTTGACGCGATATAGACTCATTATTATTTATTGTAGCATTAATCATTAAGCATGTGCGTTCTTTAACGCGATTTTTCATTTTCTTTTTTTTTCCACAACTACGCCCGTCGTCCTAATTATGGCTATTAATGTATCGACACGGTGTTGCTAGAGAGTATTCTTATTCTAGGGGAATATTATGCTATTACATCTTCTTCCGATATGTGTGATGTGTGTTCATTTATTATTATTACTATTAAACTACATCATTGCAATCTTAATTTATTATCGAGCATGCGAGAATCATTCTTTTGTATATCGACACTAACTCTGTATACGCTTCCAATGTCAATAATAAATCATATATGTATATTTTAAGATACAAAAGAAGAGCAGCTGTGTGTAAAAAATTATACACGCGTAACGATCAGAAATATGACACGTCGTTCATTTCTATTTTTCGCGAGGATTAAGAAAATCATTCGTTTCTATTTTGTTTTTGCGAAGATTAAAAAAATCTGAAAAAAAATCAGAACGCGCAATCTCATCTGATCCTTCAACGCGTGTGAATGTGTGTGCGATAAATAAATTTACTTACCAACTGGGTACATCGGCGCTGTGATACATCAGCTGTTCCGGCGCCAACTTCGGACCGCTGCCTCTTGGACAATTCACTTTCTCCAGCACTCGCACTCGCGAACATCGGAAAAATACTGCCAACGAACGCGAATTAACGGAGTATTTAACTACTTGATTAACACATCGATCACCTTGTCTGATAATCCCGCTCACACTCGCACGCGCGATACACTTTAGAGAGGTGTGAAACACGAGAAACGCGCAGCACGACGTTATCACGACGTTGTCTCGATCTTGACTGAATATGGCCGACTGCTTCGTCGATAACGCGCAACTTCACGCGGGTAACGTATCGACGCGTCCCGTCACGTTTCAGATTAATATGTCTTTCGTTACGCAAGATACGCACGTGGGTACGATTAAAATTTGGAATAGATCAATTACATACGTGATATTTATTCTTAATTTGAGTAACACTTTTTGACGATGCTTCGCGGATTCCACAGAAATAAGAGGAATGCGTAGCACGATAGTATCACTTCGACCTTGCGCTGACGCGACGTTAAATATGACTGACAGCTTGGTCGGTGACGTGTCGCCGAGAGCTGCGACCTCGTGCGGATAACGTATCGACTATAGATAAATAGAATATGTGCCGGTGTCTCTCCCCCCCCTCCACTCATCGCCTGAGGAAATTCGAAACACGTATGTATATACACAATATTTAGTCTCGCCAATTTATTTTATTCGTATGCTTAATATTCTTTACGGAATTAATTCAATTTGTCAAATTATCTTAACTGTCATCTAACTTTATTAGATGTCTGACTGAATTGAACTGTTACGTCACATGCTTATATAATTACAAACATAATTTATTCTTAATGACATGAAAGCATAAAGAAATTTAAATGTAATTGGATAAATGATTCTTATAATATCTTCTAATATGATTGTGTCCCTAATAATTTGACAGTATTAATCCCATCGATCATTTCGTTTCTTGAATATTTACGAAAATCGATCGCGATATCTCACAAACGTCCAAATAACCGTGCGTAACATATTTGTAAATGACTATGAAAATATAACTAAACTTCTTGACTTCCGTCAGGATTGATATCAGTTTCGGAATTTCGAGTTTGTTTTGTACTACGAGAATCGAATTTAACGCTATCAATCACTATGCGAATCATCGCTTCGAAGTGAAAATAGCGTCAAACAGGGCGCGTTAAATACAGAGAACGAGAGAATATATCACGTAAGTTTATCTCTAAATATTAAACAAACGCGTAGCAATATCTATTAAATAATTAATGCTAAAACTGATATAATTATTATTACATTACCACACAATGTATAACTTTCATAAGAATTATTTATCTCGTTCTTGAGCTCTTTACCACTCGAGTTACGATAATCTTGAATCGTGAGAATAAATATTGTTTGTAAATCAACGTCAAATATGACGAGTGTCGAAAAGAGAGTATCGAGATATGTAAACACAACACGTCACATCGTACTTTAGCGAATTATAAACATAATCTCGAGTGTGAAAATTCAGTCCACTGCCGTCCTTGGATAGGATCGAACGTATATGAAACGCGTGTTACGTGTGTCTTTCGTCTGGACTTTATTTTTTGAATTTAATTCGCTCTTTTTAAGAGGATATTTTTTAAATTTAAAATACGATAATTTAATTACGATCAAAATAAATATCAAATCGTTATATTGCGGATACATCCCCAGGTAGAACATGAAACTCATAATGACATCATTATGACGTCACCTAAAAGTCATTTTAGAAAAATCATAATGATCTCCTTTGATATACTTTTGGTAACTTATTTTTGATATTAAACAATTCTAGCGAACTCTGTTGGAGAATATATATACTTCGCGTATGAAATCTTAAGAATCAATCACAATATCATTTTCATATATATTACGCAATTGCTTGTTTATTTAATTATTCATGTATATTTTAACTATATTTAAGCAACATAGTCTTTTTAAAATTATATAATGCGATTATCGAACTTAAAAATTTGATTCTTTCTGTCATCTTGGACTCACTTTTTAATCATTTTTGTTCAGGTAACTTTTACGATAATGATAAATAAAATCATGATGACGTCATGAGTTTCATTCTACCTGGGTCGTTGAAAATTTCTCCGGACAATTTCCACGTGGCTTTTTTACCGGCGCGAAACAAACGGCGAATCCTCGTAAGATAAAGCAAATTCCACCGTTAGTACCATCGACGGCCGTCCGTTGGCGCCACGCGTACGCCGGGCCAAGATGGCGCCGCCGCGCGACCGTATTGACAGGTGCCTCGGCAGCATGGCGACCAGTGTTTACGACAAATGATCGCGGTCGATGGGATTCGCGCCGCGAGTGAGTCCGCAGGCGGTTGTTTACGGTATCGCTGGTGAGATCGCGTTCCACCCCCGACGCGAGGACGCGCGTCTCGCGTCGCGCCCGCGAGTGACAGATAAAGTGCGAGATATCACCTCGACGGTGAAAACGACAAGTGGCGTGTGCTGGGACTGCTCCGAGACATCAGGTGGTGGAGGTGGCGGTGGTGGTGGTGGAATCGCTCGCTGGACACCTCGTCGCTCGCAGATTCCTCGAACATCATCGTCCTAATCGTGAGTACCACAATTATATTCAAGTCAGTGACTTAAACGAGTGCGTTTAGCCAATTTCAAGTCGGGATCACAGCGTCATCTCGAGAACCGCGTCATCTCAAGGTGCCGCGAATTTGACAGTGGTTTTGGCGAGAAAGAGAGAGAGAAAGAGAGAGAGAGAGAGAGAGAAAGAGAGGGGCCATCTTTGAGGCCATCCTCCGGTATCGGTCACCGGTGAAAGAGAATAGCGATTACGCGTGCGGATCGTGTTACATAAAACCACAGCCGGATCGAATGCCATGGGATGACGTTGCGTCAGATAATCGGTTGAAAGGAATATCTACCTATGCATCGCGATATGCGATTCCGCGAAATTACATCTCGTGGCAGTTCTTTAAATTTCTCTAAATTCGCGTTGAAATTTATTGTTGGATCGGCTTAGGTGAAAGATCGAAAATCTCGTTCGTTGCGCGATCGAATCTTGTCATCCCGCGATCTTGATGATGGGATTATTATTGGTTTCTCGAGACCTTCTCGACTTCCTTTAATAATTTCATTATCAATCGATTCACATTTAAGGATGTTTTGTATGTACAATCCCAGGAAAAAGTTGCTGAAAATCAATATTGACGAATATCCACTTTTGTATTTTGAGTAAGAAATTGTGTGGAACATTACAATTTGATCTTAGCTACAGTGCAGAGGTGTATTTTTTAATATTTATTGCGCTTTTACTGAAATATTCCGAATTTTGTTAATCGAAATGATTAACTTTTGGCAGAGAATTTCGCCTTGTGACAGATACATGGCTAACTTGATTGAATTGTATTTAATATCTTTTTAATATCTTTTTCGTTAGTACTTGTATAATATTATTTGATCAAATATTTCCTCTGTATCTAAACTTTTGCAAATTTTAAACAAATTCTGAATTTTATTTCCATGTGTTTTTGTCATTTGAATCGACGTGATTATACGATTTCCCATAAGAACACATGTTAATTCGGTGTAAATTAAAATCCTTATAACTTGTGAACGCTTTAGTGAATCGATTGAAAAATTGTACCGAAGATTCTAAACATATGTAAGGACATTCTGTACAATTTTCATTAAATTCTCAATATTTTGAAAATAGATACAAAACATCCTTGAGGAATCTCGAAAAAATTTTATTGATGAACGTTTCTCGCGATTTTTCGCTGGAATTGAAATAATATTTGTTTGCATTCACATTCCATTCTTGCAATCATGTACATTATACATTGTTTTTTTGTTATTTTTATTTTAATTTTTATTTTGACAAATTCAATTTCTCGCTCGTGTGAAAATCGATATTTGGCTCTCCTATTTTTATATACTCGGAAAACTTAATTCTATATAAGATTTTTCCACATTGCGCTTATCAGCAATTTATCGAGAAATTTATCTTTGAATAGTAGCAACCTCTCTTTCTCTCTTTTTTTCGTACATTTTGTTATCTTATCATTATCTTGCGCGGATAATAAATAGAAGGAAAATCATTATTGGTCCAAGGAGGAGGGGAGGGGGCGATCGAATACGAATTCTCGTGTCCGGCATAGTTTCAGCATCCGGGGAAGAATGGCTGCCCCCGATGTGTACGTAATTAAATTTATCGATCGCGTCGAGGGAGACGTGGTACTCGAGAATGCGCGTGTTTGTGGATCCCTCCTCGTTTTTATCGCGCGCTTCTCCTTTTACGAGAATAAGCGGTTCCGTCAAACTTAAGGAGTACTATTTTCCTGGGGGTTAAGCGAAACATTCGCCATTAAGGTGATTATATAGGGTGATTGCGCAGAAATCCATCGCGCAACTTCTCCCTTTTTCCTGAATTTGGGGAATCCGCTTTTCTCCGTAAAATCGATCGATTGTTTTTTACAGCTCTCAAATCAAGCTCGATTAAGTTAACTTTAAATGTCACTAGGGTGATTACATGTTGTGTTTATTTTTTTTTTTTTCCTAACGAGATGTATGATAAATTTAAACCAAGTTTGATTGAAAACAATTAAAGTCGCACATGCGTGAATCGCACTTGTCCGAACGCAAATAACACACAAGTACCTTGCTCATCGAACAAACTTCCAAGCGAGTTGACCTCCAGATTGGGCTTCTGCCCCAATTGTTACATTGTCGCCGTCTCGTCGGCACTTGTACGGCTTTTATCGCTTTTGTGCGCGCAGCCAGAATATTTAACGCATTGTAAAAGTATATAAGCTTCGAACCTTTTCTGCTAAACTTTTCAGCGCGTCTTATTGTGATTAAAATTTATTTACGCCTTTTTTAATATAATAAAGCGAGGGTGAAGCGAATAGTGAATATTTTTAATATTATCGATGATGTGAAAAATGTTAAAATTGAAATATTTTAGAAGCAGCAGAACGTATATGATATTTTGAATGTAAAGTTTATTAAGAAAGAATCGTAAATAATGACTGCAGTCATTCAAAATTACGGATACAGATTGATTTCAAAAATTTCACTGGCAGTTGTAGAGTGGAAGAAGAAAATAAATAATTATCATATATTCTCTAAAACATTGCAACTTTCACATTTTTCCATTCGTCAATGTCTTTAAAAATATTCATTTATCACTTCTCATTTTATATCCTAGAATGATTATAATATAATGATTATTAATTAACTATTATAATACAATAATTATAATATTAATTATGATAATACAATAATTATAATATTAATTATTATAATATTAATTATTGATTATAATATAATGATTGCTGTAATGATTATAATAGGACATTTTTTTTAATCATTTTAATTAAAGATAAAAGATAGGAAAGGTATTCCTTATGTCTTATAAGATAAAAATAATTTTCGGCATCGTTTGAGCGTTATATCGCATTCAATCGTGACATTAAAATGCGAAATATAACGCGACATGTTTATTTTGCGTAACAATTCGCAAACTATATATCATATCGCATTGTTATAGAGTTCTGTATCGTGCTTTAATAGACGATCACGTAACTCTCGCGATTCTCATATCACCCGATCCTCGCATACACACGTGATATTCTAGTTGTGGATATTATTGGATGAATACATTGAATATACGCGTGATTATGTAACTCAATTCGCACATTTGCGCGAAATAAACGCCCGAGGAATAATTCGTAATCTCTGCAATTTTCCAAAATATTTGTCTAAAATATCCTCTGCAATTTTCCAAAATATTTATCACAGCTTTCCGCGGATTTTTAAATTTTAAATCGACGTTTTAATAAATCGCAAGCTGATGAAGAGGCTCGAAGAGCGGAAGAATCGTTTAGATCTTGTTCTGGTTGATCCGCGCGAAGGCCGCCAATCGTCGCGAATATCCGCGCGACTGGTCTGTTAAGATTAATTATATGCCGCAACAACTCGAAATGATCTATTGTGTCTTAACGGCCGTGTCACACGCTCCAACCTTGAATGCAAGTCGAGGGAATTGACCTCGAACCGGATCTGGAATTTTTTTTTTTCCGGGGAAGGGTAATATGGAATTATGAAAGGGTGGGTAGGTTTTGCATGTCATGCTAAAAGTCCCACATACTTGGGACTTAAACAAACCGCGGCGAGTTCGCACAGTATTTTATAATTCGAGATACTCGTCATTTAGTCGTTAATTCTTTATAAATATACACAGAAAGAAATGTCAAATCAAAACTTGTATACTTAAACTAACGCGTTCATTGTTTCGTATATACGCAACAATTTATAATCTTCTAGAAGAATTTAATAATTTTAAATTTCAACAATATTAGCCTTATTTTAATATTGTAATTGTCACCTTAAGAATATATAATTATTTAATTCTACTTTAAGAAAATTATAATCTTTGATTTAAAAATGTTATTTTTCATCCAACATTGTTTCTTTTCCATTCAAGGAAATTAAATCTTAAATCATAAGAATATATTTTTCTCGATTGAACTGTATAAAATGGCTTTATTCGAGTAAGCAATTATTCAAGCAATTATATTTTTCTTTAATTAACGCGATATAATCTCATTTCAAGACTTCCATGTTAAAACTAAATATATTTTAAAAAACAAGAATGTCCTTTTTTTCGTGAGTTTATGCACAGAAAAAAAAGAAATGTCAAATTAAAACTTATATACTTAAACTAACGCGTTTATTGTTTCGTATATACGCAACAATTTATAATCTTCTAGAAGAATTTAATAATTTTAAATTTCAACAATATTAGTCTTATTTTAATATTGTAATTGTCACCTGAAGAATATATAATTATTTAATTCTACTTTAAGAAAATTATAATCTTTGATTTAAAAATGTTATTTTTCATCCAACATTGTTTCTTTTCCATTCAAGAAAATTAAATCTTAAATCATAAGAATATATTTTTCTCGATTGAACTGTATGAAGTGGCTTCATTCGAGTAAGCAATTATTCAAGCAATTATATTTTTCTTTAATTAACGCGATATAATCTTATTTCGATGTTAAAACTAAATATATTTTCAAAACAAGAAGGTCCTTTTTTTCTGTGTATTATTTTAAATATATTATTTATTTATTCGAACATTTTAAGCAACTTTAAAATATACATCATGTTATTCATTTTTTCTTACAGTTTTAAGTCAAATAATACAGTAGCGCTTTTATTTATCTTACATACGAATAGATATGTGAGATAATTTAAATTAATCGAGATTGACTCGTAACATTAAGTTAATCATAATTTTCTCACGTTTTTAATGTATTAGCTCGAGTTTATCGATTTTACCATCAACCACTGATTTCTTGATTTTCAGACTAATTCCAAGATTATTGTCTACTTTAGAGTTCACTTCTTCATAATTGATGGAATCGTCTGGAATAATAAGAGTCTCTGTCACTTTGTTTTGCTGTTTATGTTCGTCGCTTTCGGAGTCTTTGTAATCATTTCCGTTGCTATTTTTTGTCTCGATTCTTAATCCTACGAGTCCAGTCATATTCTTTTTCTCATTTGTAATCTTTGTATCGTGCTCGAGATAAAAGTCGCTCCTCGAAAGCTTCAAGCAATCGCGTAATTTCTGCATCAGATTCTCCGTCGATCCGTCAATTGATCTCCTGCAGAGTCGGATATAATTCTTTTTTTTCATGCGATTAAGGGCACTATTTTTTCCATCCGCATTCCTCGACGCGACCTGCTTATTCCCTTTGGCGGACTTTTCTATTAAAGTATCTGTAATATCCGACAGGTGAAGGACGTTCGCATCCTTCGTATTTCCGTTTTTGAGGAAAACTCTCGTTAGACTCTTAATCCGTTGATCTTCTGACGAAAGTTCCTTATCCTTTTCCGATGACACATCGTGCGACTGTTGAATGTCTCCTTGTTTCGCGAGCTGGACATTCATCGAGATGCCTGCGTGATCGGGATGCTTTTTCGATTCTACTTTAGCCCGAAAATCCACGTTGAGTTTCGTTCCATCGGTACCTATTGTGGGTTTTATTATTCCCAACGGATATAAAGGTCCACTGTAACCTTGCCCATCTTCGACCTTCCCGTTTTCTTTGCGAATTTCTGTCGGCACGTCAATAATAGCGACAATATCGTTTAATTGCTCCAGTTCAGTCGCTCCATTGGTTGCAGTTGTCGCTGCTTTTCCAAAGTCGGAAGATATATTCTAGAAAAAAATAGGAAAAGGGAAGTTTGCAACGTTATGTTGAAGCGCAATTTAAATGAAAAAAAGACTCACCGATGGTAACAGGTAGAAGAAAGCCGAGAGGGGAAGAGCAAGATTGAGACCCATCGTATCTCGATTCGATCAAGAGACCGACTGTTCAGACGAGCCAATCCCTACGCCGATTTCTTTATGTACCCCGAGAGACGATTTAGTTTTCTCAGCTGTGGTCACGCTTTTCTATTCGTTTCCTTTTTAATGGCGCGTCGCATGTAATTTCGTCTATTTACGACGCATTGTCTGTACAAAATCATCTTCGCCATTTGACTCTGCTGCGGGCAACAATCATTACTCGCTTCTTATCGTAAAATAAAATTTCCCGATCGCAATTGTTATTCGATTATTATTTTTTATTCTGATTAATTCAATTTGTTTTCAGTAAATTATTTTTTTCAATCAGTATTTGTGATCCCGGAGCTAATTAGGGGAAATTACACGGACCTCTTTCCCACAGGAAATCTCGTAATGCTATAGAAATTTTTTCTTGCATTAGAATTGAAAGGGTAGAAGGCTTCTTATCTTTTTTTTTCCTGCTAATTATCCACGCGATCGCGCAGCGAAATGTCTTCACGATTCTCTCTCTCGTAAATACGCGAAATAATTTACCGACCAATATTGCCGTCTGCCGAGATTCATCGATCTAGCCGGATTTTCAGCTATCGGCGAGTTAATGATGCGTGGCCTGAAAATTTATAGTGCGTATAATCGAAAGTTCGTGTTCGACTCTTTCATGCTTTTTGCCCTGATGTATACTTACATCCTGTTCGATATGGCTCGTTCGATATACTACTAAAAAAAAATACATGTAGACATTATCGTATCTCGAAGGTTCATACGCGTAGAGTGAGTTAGTTGAATATTATCGTTGTTATTATTCAATCAATATATTTGTCTAAATGCGTTACACGAGATAATTTTCAATTTCCTAATATTTCTCTCATTTTTTATTTCACAACTTTGTTAAATGATTAATAAAAATAACGAATATGCAAAAAAAAAACAGATTAAATGTAAATTAAGCTTGAAATGTTAGATCAAGAGATATTAAATGATTTTATATAAATATCAATTAAAAATTAAAAATTAAATTTTTAATTTATTATTATTGGCCCAGCTCTTTAGATATTGTATGCAAAATACGCGTAATGTGTGTACGCACTGATTATAATTAACAAACTTGTCGATGAAAATTAATTCGAATTGCAGAGTTAAAGAATATAATATTCTATTGTATTTAATATATAATGCTCAAGGACTATCTGCGATATGGTAATCATTATAATACTGCTTCTTTATCAGAACAACGAATACGGCATTGCGCCCACGCATGACGCCGTTTACAGCGGTTCTCGTTCGTATTTCCGGTCACGCGATTGCTCGGGCTTTAATTCATTGTCGCCGCCATCATCGGCGGATCATCGAAAAGTTTGTCGCGCATAAAATTCCTCTGCAACTTTCCCCTCTTTTAAATCTTTGAAGCTGATCGGTGGATCTAGGTAACGAAGGGAGAAAGGTAACGAAACATAAAATCGGTTAACGTTATCTTGCTCCCTGTACATTTTCATACGAGAAACCGGAAGTTACGAGCGACATTGTCACTGTTTGAGAAGTCGTAATCTTATCTAGGCTCTTTGCATCCACTACCGTGCTCGCGATAAGAAAATCCGTCGCTCTAAAAGTTCTTCCGAACTTTTCGTTCCAAATTTATTAATCTCTTATTAATCTCCGCTTAATTATGCGTCGTAAATAATTAAACGAGAATATACGAGATTAAAATTTTGGAATTTTGAAGAAGTCTTAACCAAGGCTCTTTGTTTCGAGTGAGAATCAATGAAATAGAAATCGAGAAATTAATTAATTTTTTTCGTAAAATTATTGTATTTCTTTGAGCGTTCAATGATTATAATTATAATCATATAAATATAATCATATAATTATAATCATATAATCATATAAACATAATATCATATAAATATATAAATATAATATCATATAAATCATATAAATATAATCATATAATTATAATCATATAATTAAATATTATAATTAAATATTAAATATTATATCATATAAATCATATAAATATAATCATATAATTATAATCATATAAAGAACAAAAACAGAAATCGAGTTAATTAATTTTTTTCGTAAAAGTATTTCTTTGAGCGTTCAATGATTATAATTATAATCATATAAATATAATTATATAATTATAATCATTTAATCATATAATTATAATATCATATAAATATATAAATATAATGTCATATAAATCAAATAAATATAATCATATAATGAAATATTATAATTAAATATTAAATGTTATATCATATAAATCATATAAATATAATCATATAAAAAATTATAATTATATTATAATTCTTTTAATTACATTATATATTTAATTATATTATATTATATATTTTAATTATATTATATTTAATATTTAATATTATATTTAACTATATTTAATATTATAATTCTTTTAAAGTAAACAGTTGTACGATTTTATTCGCGAGCGCGCTGAGGCGCTCATGCTAGATGGCAATTTGGCGAATTGACATGGTCGAGGTAATTTAACAAGCGAGCATACCGACGAAATTTCTATTCCCCGCGCAATTTCGCGATTACGCGAGCACGACAAAGATGAGAACGACGACGAACTCGCGTTTCCGGTAGAAACAAATTTATCGCAAGCCCCGCGACGACTCGTTCGGATTACCAAGATGATATCAGTCATTTTACCACGGTAATTAACGCCACCGGTTGCATAGACGTGCGCGAGTAACCTCGAGAGCTCTTGGTTTCCAATGAGCAGATGCATATTGCAATTAAATGCCGCTATCATTAATCATCCAGATATAAACTATCACGCAAGAAGAGGTGTACGTATGCATGTGTGTGGTTATAATTTTCGATTTATTCAATTTCGATTCAAAATGTTCTTCAATCTTAGAAAATTTTACTCACTTTTTCTCGAGAAAAATTCAATTATACGCTTCTCTCGGTTATTTTCCCTCTCTATTTTTTTATAATATAATTTTTATTATATTATAATAATTATATTATAATAATTTATTATATTATAATAATTATATTATAATAATTTATTATATTTATTATATTTATTATATTATAAAAAAATAGGGAGAGGGAAAATAACTTTGAAACATTTTATAATATAATTTATTTTTAATAAATATTTGTAATATTTTTATGAAATATTTATATTTTTTAATTTTATTTATATTAACGTTATAAATAACAATTTACTTGAATTCTGTTAGGAATTATAGAGCCATTTAAAGTAGAATTTGAGGACACCATTTTTTTGTTCGATGCAAATAGAAACAGATGTGGCTAACGATGGATATTTTTATTGAATGAAAAATTGCAAGCTATTATAAATTGAAAACGGCCAATCGGACGGAACAATCCAATCGAGTAATGTAATGGAGAGCTGCGCTTCTTCTCCATCCTTTCCCTCGCCTTATACTCGTACGTCGCTTTACGAGATACGACTTTAAACGTTTGTCGAGGGAAAGGAAGGATTTACGATGGAAATAATTTCCAGAACGCTCTCCAGAATTTATTCGGCCACCGTGCTGTTAACGGCTGCCATCTCGTAAAATCTTGACTCTTTTCTTCCTCTCCTCGCGGTTCATTGACTTCGTTTACGAGGAGCGTTCTCCGTTTCCGACCTCTCGCCGCAATCATTTGCAATTATTCGCACAAGTTGCTTCAGGAATAATTAAACGTTCGTAAAAAGAGTCAACGGCAGCCAAAGATACCTTAATCGTTGTTTACGTTTTCCAAATATCTTTTTAATCAAATGTTATATTGTAGAAATCAGGTTTCATTGCGGAAAAAATTAGTTCGGCAAAAAATAGGTATCGTTTCTTCGTTCGTTGACGGCCTCGCACGCGAGAAAATATTTAGACGAGCAACACGCATCCCTTCTCGAAAATCGCCGACAGGCGAAACGAGCGATTTCGCATCGGCCTGTTGTTCCACGCTGCTTTTTCTGCGACCGATAATAAGCGGTCGCGTTAAATTGGCCGATCATTTCAGGTGAGCCTGCCTACGCGGACCTAGCAGTTAACATCCACCTTCGTCCGGTTATTATCCCGCGGGACGCGGCCACCTCCTGCATCCCCTTTCCTTCTGTAGTCGTTTTCCATTCCGCATCTCATCGAGAAAGACATACAACGGCGAGCAATAGGAATATAAGGCCACGTTGCGAGAATATGTTGCCTGACTGTCACTTTTACTTAACATGCAATAATTTAAAGAATGTCAAGAATTATACATCTTGTCAAATGTATTTTTTCTTTTACATATTTCACAAATTTTTAAAATCTTTTATGCGTTCTCTGATTCAATCAGCTGATCAAGTTTGCTTCATTAGAATTATACATCTTGTCAAATGTATTCTTTGTTTTACAAATTTAAAAAATTTTTTAAATCTTTTATGCATTATCTGATTCAATCAGCTGATCGAGTTTGCTTCATCAGAATTATACAACATGTCAAATGTATTCTTTCTTTTACAGATTTTACAAATTTTTAAAATCTTTTATTCGTTATCTGATTCAATCAGCTGATCGAGTTTGCTTCATCAGAATTATACAACTTGTCAAATGTATTCTTTCTTTTACAGATTTTACAAATTTTTAAAATCTTTTACGCGTTATCTGATTCAATCAGCTGATCGAGTTTGCTTCATTAGAATTATACATCTTGTCAAATGTATTCTTTGTTTTACATATTTCACAAATTTTTAAAATCTTTTATGCGTTCTCTGATTCAATCAGCTGATCAAGTCAGCTGATCAAGTTTGCTTCATTAGAATTATACATCTTGTCAAATGTATTCTTTGTTTTACAAATTTAAAAAATTTTTTAAATCTTTTATGCATTATCTGATTCAATCAGCTGATCGAGTTTGCTTCATCAGAATTATACAACATGTCAAATGTATTCTTTCTTTTACAGATTTTACAAATTTTTAAAATCTTTTATTCGTTATCTGATTCAATCAGCTGATCGAGTTTGCTTCATCAGAATTATACAACTTGTCAAATGTATTCTTTCTTTTACAGATTTTACAAATTTTTAAAATCTTTTACGCGTTATCTGATTCAATCAGCTGATCGAGTTTGCTTCATTAGA